ACACACACACACACACACACACAGAAGGAGCCTTTTATGAACCCATTTGTGCTCTAATAATTGCTCTGATCTGAGTCCGAAGCCCATTATGAACGCGAATGATTGATCGCCGCGAAGGTTGCGCTGCGGTGCAGAGCGAATGCGAGAGAGAATCGCTTGCAAAAATGCGCCGAAGCCTTTGAGAAACCGAGCAGCTTAGCCCAGCCAAGGGGATGATGGTGGGGGGGGGGGGGGGGGAGAAGGAGAGAGAGAGAGAGAGAGAGAGAGGCAATCGTCCCCCAGTAGATCACAACCGTTTGACCCCCATAAAATTACCCCCAACGCAGAGGAGCGTTTGCACCTTCCCAGTCAGTCGCACAATGGGGCTGAGGGGGAGGACTCCCCAATGACCAGATATCATTGTGCGAAGTGGGGAACTCGAATGAGGAATTCATTCTATTCTTTTGGAGAGCGCTGTGGGATGTCTGTGGAAGGGAAAGCAGCGCAGGGGAAGGAGTGGGGGGGAAGGAGGAGGGGGGGGGAGGGAAGGGAAGGGAAGGGCAGTTATGTCTTTGATGAATAATTGCAGTCATTAATCACAGGTTGAGCCTCTCTTTCTTTTGAATGGGGTGAGGGCTGGGAGCAGGCGTGCGCCCAGTGGCCAATGATTCCACGGCCAACTCCGTGACTGACAGCAAACACGTGGCGCGATCTCCAGCTGTTGCTATTGACACACTGCAGGACACCTGGAGCTAAAGCCACAGCCACTGCCTGGCGTCTCTCCTCCTATTTACATAGATCCGGCGACAGGTGAAATTGAAATCACCCTTTTAGATGCTCGTGTGCGTCTCCCTCCCCTCCCCTCGACCCCTCCACCCCTCCACGTTTATTTGCAATAAACACCGATCATTTTTATTTCCCAACAAAATCCACCTGATAACGCATCAGGTGGATTTGATCCGACCACACAGCCCACGGTTGATTGGCTTTGCGGTGGATCCCGTGAAGCCGTCTCGAAGACGTGATTAAGGCGCTGTTTTCGAACGCGAGGATGGTTGGCAGTTACGGTTGTTCGTGTGACAATCGGGCGAAAAAGGGGGGCTTTTTAATTGCTCGCGAAGCCCGCGAGAAAAACAAGACACCGCGCATTCTGCGAAGGCGCTTTTTGATCAGATCGACCCAGGAACCTGACTGCGGTGGGGGGAGGAGGAGAGTGGGGGGAGGCGGGGGGGGTTGCAATCTATCATCACTCCACCGTGGTTGTTTGAACAGCAACAAAAAAAAATTGCTTAACAATGAAACTGATCTGCGGTGTGTGCATTGCATTGTGAGGCGTGCTTCTTGCCTTAGAGAACTTACTGCTAACTCGCGCACCGTGTATAATGCAAATAGTGGGGGGGGGTCTCCATCAAGAGCCAGAGCACACGCCCTCATTGGCAACTGGTTGCATACAATTTGTAGTTGCGGGGAAAGGAAAGTTTAGCGTTTCTACTAAGGGGAGACAATGGACTGGCTATGGTTTCAATTTGGTGGCTCGAAAAGAAACCCCAGAAATGCCTTTCCAAATGCCCAGTTAATGTGCTCCAAATTACTCAAAACCTTTCCAATAATCCCAAACGCCAGTACACAAAATGTTGTTTATCAGTATTAAACTAGTTACCTGTACCTTGGCTCAGTTGGTAGCACTCTCGCCTCTGAGACAGAAGATTGTGGGTTCGAGACTCAAGTCGGGACAATAAAACTCATATAGTTTTGGATGTCACTGCAGTTCAATGTTGGGGTAACACTGTCAGAAGTGCCTTCCTTCGAATTATACGTTAAAATGAGGCCCCTCTGCCTGTTATAACAGACGTTGTATAGATTCCATGGTGCCATTCAAAAAGAGAAGGAAGTTTCTTCTGGTATCCTGACCAACAAACCTCCACATCAGAATTGGTTGTTCACTACTTGGTTCGTTTGTGGGACATAGCTGTGTGGAAATTGTTTGCAAACACACAGTCACTACACTTTGTACAGTAGTAAATTCTGAAAAGCGCTTTGAGATGTCCTCCTGACGTGAAAGGCATGTTATGAATGTTCAGATTGAAGAAAAGGATATTGCTGCTGATATCTTAAAGCTAAATTTTATACCAATCTTAAGTCCGATGGGTAAAAGCAAAGGACCTCTTGATGTGTATCAACAGTGATTGGATTTGAAGCATTACTAACACACGTTTTGGGTAAATAACTTACTCGCAGGAATTAATCTACATTTTTTTACATTGCTTATAAAATCGAAAACGCTTGATAATTTTGGTGTAGAGACCGTTTTTGGAGATTAAAGTGGCAGCCATTTGACTCACAGCAAACTCCCACAAACAGCCATGAGGCAAATGACCTGATTTAATCTATTGGCCAGGGGGAAACTTGGGGAAACTTTTCAGATAGTACCATGGGATCCTTAACTTCCCTCCTTTCAAGTCTTATCCCGAAGAAGAGTGCAGTATGGCGCTGCCCTGGATTGTCCAGCCTAAGCTCCATGTAGGGCTTGAACCCACAACCTTCTGCCCTAGTGGGAAGAGTGCTACCAACTGAGCCAGCACAATACACAGCCAGATAAGCAACAGAGTAACGTTAAAACAGTTGCTGTCTATATGAATCCTTTGCCTTGCCATTTTGAATTAAAATCCACGTCTGTACGTTTTGGGATTCACTATACAAAATCCTAATCTCAGGAACAAGAAACATGGACTGCGCTAAAACTGAGTCCTGACTAAATTAATAATACCAGTTAGCAAGAAATGGTAACAAAATCACTTGCATATGATTCAATGATAACAGGGAACACTACACTATCTGGCAGTTTGGGTACACACCACTCTTCAACATTTTGACTATAACAGCAAGGTTGCTTATGTCTGTTAATAAATAATAATCCTTACATTTGATATAGTGCCTTATCACATCTTCGAGACGTGTCAAAGCGCTTCGCAGAACATACTGTAAAGTGTAGTGACTGTATATTTTGTGGGCAAAACACAGCAGCCAATTGCACACAGTAGTGTCCCACAAACAGTCGTGGATTGAAGTGACCCTTTTTTTCCTGAGGAATTATTACCTCTGGAAATAATATTGGAAAAACTTAAAAGTGGCAGCAATCTTCACATCTTAAGGTTGCCACAAATGTATTTAAACCATATGGCGCTTTGTCAGATCTGGGGGTGGACAGACCACTCAATTATTTCCAAATTTATGCCCACGTCACTTAGTTCCACATCTTCCTCAGAGACTGAGGCATCTTTTAATCTCCCTCTACCACAACCAATTCAGATTTCACTCACACCGAATAAAGTATTATCTTCTCCCATCTCACTCAGTGTATACAAAACAAATCCTTAATTATCCTATATAACAATAGTTGATTTTGATATAGCACCTTATCAAGTCATTGAGACGTCTCAAAATGTTTCACAGAATATACCGTAAATTGAATTGACTGTATTTTGTGGCCGAAACTCAGCAGCCAATTGCGCCCACAAACATGAGTGACCAAATTATTCATTTATTTTATATTTTGAAATAAATATTAGATGCATGCTTGTTGAAGAGAGATATCAAATGATGTGGGTAGTAATTAGAAGTATGGGATTAGATTCAGTGACTCATTTGAAGAAAAACGTCAGCACAGACTGAATGGGCCAAATGGCCGTTTTCCGCACTGTGAACGCTAATGCTGTTTACCACCTTCGGTTAGGAGACTGGCACCTCTTTGACACAATGAGAAGCGAGAAGAAAAGGAGTTATAAATAGAAAAATCTTTATTTGTAGACTATTTTACATAAAATATACTTCTTTTAAAAAAAATTGCTATTTACAATTTTAGTAAAAAGAGTCAAGTTATCCACAGCAAGTGCACATACAGTGTTTCCCACGTATAATAAAAAAACCTTCAATCAGACCGGAAAGGAATTTTTTTTGAGGGGGGGGGGTGGGGGGTCAGAGCTACACAGTTAAGTTCCACAACTGAAATTCAAGGCACGCCATAGATATCTGACAGCAGGAGAAAGGCTTAATAAAGGAAACGCATCGTTTCACACTTGCCAACCGTGACACTGAGTTTGCGGCAATGACAGGGTTAAGTCACGTCACCCAGTTTTTGTTGTTGTTGTTGTTGTAGTAACACATGTGTTATGATCCACGTACAAAAATAAGTCTTCATATTGTCCTTGTGGTAAGAATACATACAAAATAGAATTTGATATCAACGCAATTATTTTTTAAAAAAAACTTGGTGTATAAAGTACGGAAGCATTAAGATTTCTCCCCCTTCACCCCCCCCGCCATTCATTCTAAAGACCCAATTGGCCTTTTAACCCCTCAAAAAAATATATTTTTAAAAAATCCCACATCGATTAATTGACACTCTCCCCCCCACCCCCTCCCAATAAAAACATAAACACTAAAGGGTACATTAAGTCCAGAAGGGATGGCACTGAAACACTCCCTTTAAAGACACCGCCACCCCGTAAGAGCCAGTATTAGCTGTACAGAAATTGCTTGAAGATACCTCCTCGCCCGGTCAACAACAACTTGCATTTATACAGCGCCCTTCACGCTGGGCAGAGTACTGGGGGTCAAACACCAAAAGTTGAGTAAACCCTGTCTTTCTGTGGCCTCTTTCCCCCCATTCCCCCCCCAACACCCACTATATTTTCCAGGTAGAGAGAGAGAGAGAGGAGAGGAAGAGGGGGTGGGGGTTATTTACATAATTGCACTTGGTAAATTGTTCAGAAGTTGGTAGTGAAAGCAGTCCAGAGAACATCTTCTCGGGCAGTTGAGTCCATCCATCCATTGGCAGTGAGGAGAGCTGTCAGTAAACAGGGAAGATGCACTTTCGTCTCTCTCCCTTTTTTTGTGTGTGTTGTGTGTGTGTCTTTCTCTCCCCTTTTCCTCCTAAATCAAGACAGCGACGCTGAGGTGAGATGTGGATGGATGGATGGGATGGGATGGATGGAGTTTATTTTCTTTCCCCCTCCCCCATCCCCTTCCTCCCCCGTAACGATCTGCAACAAGAGACAAGACAAGGAAGAGAGGATCAGTCAGTACAGCGACAGCGACAGCGAGAGATGCGCCACTTGTTACTGAGACAATGGCTCACAGCGTAATAATACCAACAACAACAACAACAACAAGAAGTAATAAGTAATAATTACGCAAAACAGTACAGTGGACAGCGAGAACGGTGGAGGCATTTCTCTGGGTATTGACTCGATAGAAAGATGGGGAGAGAGAGTGAGAGAGAGGAGAGGAGAGAGAGAGAGGAGAGGAGAGAGAGGAGAGGCACAAAAGTAGAGAAAAGAGGATGAGAAGGAGGAACATCATTGATTATTAATTTTAAAACAAAAACACACACTCTCTCTCTCTCTCTCTCCCCCCTCCCTCCCCCCCTCTCCCCCCCCCCCCCCCCCCTCCCCCCCTCTCTCCCCTCTCCCCTCTCTCTCACCCGCTTCAGTATCTGTCAAACCAGCTGGTGAAGTCGAGCAGCTCTTGTTCCTCGGGGCTCAGCGCCTCGTAGCTGCCTTCCTCGGACGAGTAGGTGGAGAGCGGGGAGGCCGGGATGGAGTTCAGGTCGGTGGCGGAGTAGGCGGGGGACAGGGTGGGCGAGGGCACCCCGCCCGGGAAGGCGGCCGACACCGCGTCGTGCTCGTCCAGCAGCTGCTGGAGGGCTCGGATGTACTCCACCGCCGACCGCAGCGTCTCCACTTTGCTCATCTTCTTGTTGGCCGCCCCGTTCGGCACGTGTTGCCTCAGCGTCTGGAAGCCCATGTTCACCAACTTGACCCGGTTCCTCTCCCGCTCGTTGCGTCGGGCCACCGCCGCCGGTTGCTGCTGAGGCAACGAGTAGCCCAAACCCGTGAAGCTGAGCCGCCTCTTGCACCTCAGCAGCTCCGGGGAGCTCGACCTCTGGCGCTTGACCGGCTTCCCCTTGGCGTGGGCGGCGGCGATGGCGGCGGCGGCGGCGTTGGCGCCGCTGTTGATGATGATGTCGCCGAGGTCGCGGTCGCTGTCCGGCGAGGACGCGGGGGACCCGTCGCTGTAGCACTGGGACCCGACGTGAGCCACGGCCGCCGCCACGTTGGCGGCCACGGTCACCGCCGGCCGACTGTCCAGGAGCAGCTGGTACGAGGCGTGCATGAGCTGGTTGGCTGATGCGCGGTCCATGTTTGGTGATGGAGAGAGAGAGAGAGAGAGAGTAGGGAGGGAGAGGAGAGAGAGAGAGTTGGCAGCGGGTTATACTCGTGCCTTACGCGTGAGGCGCGCGTTGGGCGGGTTTGCACCGCAAGCTGTAGATCTTGACCCGCGCCACTCGCAGGAGCCGCTGTGTCTGAACCAATCTCCCCAAAACACTCGCCTTTTTCAACACGCGCCTGGCTGCCTCCCTCCCCCCTTCTCCCCCCCTCCCCACTCTCTCTCCCTCCTTCCCTCCCCCCCTCCCTCCCTCCCCTCTTCTTCCTTCCCTCCCTCCTTCTCTCTCTCTCTCTCTCTTCCCTCCCTCCCTCCAGATACATGCTTCAGATAAGACCTGCCCACTTTTTTTTTAATATCCCCCCCTCCCTCCCTCCCTCTCTCTCTCTCTCTCTCTCTCTCCCCCCCTCCCTCCCTCTCCCTTGTCATTCCTATTGACATTCCACGCGTGTCGCCCTCATTCGTGCGGCTGACACGTGCCGCGCTCTCCTCTAAACAAACAAGTCTCCTCTATTCACTCGCAACCGACCGTCCGCCCGTCCCGGGAGCACGCGCTGCAGCCAATTAACATAGCAATGCGCCTCCCTCCCTCCCTCCCTCTCCCTCTCTCTCTCTCTCTTTCTTTCTCTCTCTCTCTCTCTCTCTCTATTCTTTCTTTCACTCTCCCTCTCTCTTCTTTTTCTCTCTCTCCTTTCCCTGTCTCTCTCCCTCCCTCGCTCCCTCCCTCCCTCTCCCCTTTTACTCCCTCTCTATCTCTCTCTCTCTCCCCCTCTCTCTCTCTTCTTTTTCTCTCTCTCCTTTCCCTGTCTCTCTCCCTCCCTCGCTCCCTCCCTCCCTCTCCCCTTTTACTCCCTCTCTATCTCTCTCTCTCTCTCCCCCTCTCTCTCTCCCCTGGTCCCTGACTTTCTCCCTCTTTCTCTTCCCCATTTCTCTCTCTCTCCCTCTCTCTCTGATTTCCCTGTCTCTCCCTCTCTCGTTTCCCTGTCTCCCCCCCCCTCCTCTCTCTCTCTCTCTCCCCTTTCCCCCCCCTCTATCTCTCTCGCTCCCCTTTCCCCCCCTCTATCTCTCTCTCTCTCCTGCCCTGTCCCTGACTTTCTCCCTCTTTCTCTTCCCCATTTCCCTCTCTCTCCCTCTCTCTCTGATTTCCCTGTCTCTCCCTCTCTCATTTCCCTGTCTCCCCCCCCTCTCCCTTTCCCCTTTCCCCCCCTTTATATCTCTCTCTCCCTCTCCCCTTGTCCCCAAATCTCTCCCTCTCTCAATTTCTCCCCCCACTAACTTTTATGCCATTGAACTCGAAAACCATCCGCGTTCCTCCCACTCCGGCAGTCGTGCTCTGTTTGACGATTGCCATCCACATAAATACACACAATAAATACAGATATATTTTCAAAATCTTATCCAGTTTTGAGGGTTTTTTAAAAAAAAACCTTAGATCTGCTTAGGATTTCCTTGAATTTTGCAAATGTTGAGGACGGTATATATTTTTTTAATGCAACATTGCTTTTTAAGTTGAATTAAAAAAGTCGCCCCCAAAAAGGCGATCTGAACGCCAACTGCGCCTTGAGTTGTTTCATTAACTTCACCAAACTTTTTATAACACGATGTCGTACATTATTATTATGAGTAGTAGTATTTTGCAATAGAAAGAAGTGATCTTACGCAGAATAACGCACGAATATTACGCACGTGTTTGTATCAGTGCTACTCCCCCACCCCTTTAATCTATATATTTCTGCTCCACCAGGAAACCCCCCCCCCAAACCCTCTGATCCATTTGAAACCCTCACCTTTCAAAAGCTTCCATTTAAAAGACTTTTACACCTGTTGTGAATAGAATTCGAGGCGGGGTGACATAGTTGGGAGTGATTTATGAAATTGGGATATGAAATTTCATCTTGTTTTTGCTAAGGAGTTTACCCTGAGCTCTTAAGAACATCACCACTGTGGGTCAGGGCAAAAACAATAATCATACGAGAAGTGAGGAGGGTGTGTGTGTGTGTGTGTGTTAGTCTGTGTTAGTTAAGGCAAATGGAGAGATCCAAACCGTGACTCAGATGGCTTTGCAAGTGGGGCTGGAGCTGTTCTTGGACTCAATGAGCCACAGTGTGTGCCTCAGAATTCTGGTGGAAAAACACTCGATTTCCTCGCTTCGCACCCCAAACGGCGACCAAACCCAACCTGAAGCCCAGAAAGGACTTTTGTTGTTGTTGTTTCAACACTTGAAACGCTCAAGCGGACAATTTCACTGTGAAGCTGAACTAAATAAGTGTTTAGGGCTGGGGGGGGGGGGGGGGGGGGGGAGAAAAAGAGAGAGAGAGAGAGGGGGTTGATTTTAACCCTGGAGCCCAAACTTGGAGTGAAACTAACAGATTGATTTTATTATAATAATAATAATAATAAACGGAGAATTCCATGCATCCCAAATAGCCTCTGGATTTCCATGTGTAAGTGAGACTCTATTCTCAATTCTTGAGCTTGGTGATGGGTTTCTGCACGTGTCAGACACCCTGCTGACCCCTAACAAATCTATGCATCTGATACAAGACCAAAACGGCTCTAAACGCTCAGAGTCTGTGTCAAGTGTAGTGACTGTGTGTTTGTAGGTAATGTCGCTTGTACAGCGACTTCTTGCAGGTGTGAGCCTTGGCGCTGTGGGCTGGAGCGGTGTGTTAGTTAGACCCGCTTTGTGAATTGACTTGAGGTTCCATCCAGTGGAGGAGCTTCAACACTGCAAGTCATTTAATTTTTCATATCAATTTCCCCGTCGCCTGCCTGTGAGATGGTGGATGTTTATGCTGTCAATGTGTCCTTCACATTGAGAGCAAATGCGAGAGAGCCATCGCTCATCGAACCAACTCCCTGACACCTGATGGCAAAACAGCATCCAAATACTCGCCCCATTTATGAATCCCACTTCCCTTTCCCTTCCACACCTTTTACCCCTCGCTCTTGTTTCTGGGGTAAATCAAAACACTTTTGTACTGTATTCCAGAAAACGCCAGATTCTTGTGAACAAGAAAAGCCACTTATGTATTGATTAATTTATTTATGTTTTGCAATCGATTTGACAGGATTCTGAAATGTGTGGCTCTCTCCCCACCCCAACCCCCCATCTCCCTAGACAATATATTATAAACAATGAATAATTTTAATTTGGGGGGGAAACTAATAAGAATATAATAAAATAATAAAAACTAATAATATATCATTTCATTTAGCGCAAAATTGACAAAGACCCACCTGTGGACTGTCTGCAGATGTGCTTTATATGCGTGTCCAACGCTTATAGATATTGTTTAGAACTCTTTCTACAACAACAAGATTACATTTGTGTAGCTACTTGTTTTTCTTTGATAAACTCAAATTGCACAATACTATTTTCTTAAAAATGGCAATTTCCTTACAAGTTGAGAAGAATCAGGGCGATTTAAACACTGGGCGAGATTCTTTTTGCAGAGAGTAAGGGGTGAGAATCATTTTATTGCACTGACCTTTACAGGGGGTTGTTAGAGGCTTATAATTCATTGTTTTATGACGATTCCTCTTAACGCAACCAGTTGCAATTTTAGAGTTTGATATCAGCGTTTGCATTGAGTGAAGTTGAGTAAAGTGAGACAAAGTCCAGCAAAGAGAGAGGCAGAGAGAGAGACAGAGAGGGACAATTTCTGACAGACATAGTGTGCTCACCTTCTGAGGAATGCACACAACTGTATTACTGTCGAGAGAGAGAGAGAGAAAAACCTTTATAGTTAACAAAACGCCAGACTCTTGTGAGCAAGACCAGCCACTTGTTTATTGATTGATTTATTTTTTTTGCAATCGATTTGAAATGATTCAGAAATTTGTGGCTTTAAATTAATCTGAATTAAACAATAATCATAATACACTGGACATCAATAAGCATACGTCACCTGGTGGGATGAAGTAGAAGTGCACCATGCGATCAAACCTAAACTGGACCCTGGTATTCAAAAGGCAAAATACTGCAGATGCTGGAAATCTGACATAAAAACAGAACTCACTCGGGTTCTGACGAAAGGTTATCGATCTCAAACGTTAACTCACTTTCCTCTCTCTCCATAGATGCTGACTGACCTGCTGTGTGTTCCCAAACATTTGCAAATCTGTCGCAATTTAATACACGAGCAAAAAATGCGCAGGTATTAAAAAAGAACCTCGACAATAAAACAACGATGGCCTTTAACTTAATCTCGTATTGTCAGACCACAAAAGTGATTTTTACAAGTCTTGGGTGTAATTGACCACCGGTCGAGTGATGTGCAAAGACAAAAGTGTTTGCATTCCAACATTTGTGGAGTCCTGGAGCTCAGTGGTCAGAGCACTCGCCTTGCAAGTGAGAGACCTGGGTTCGATTTCTGGCAGGGCGAAACCTTGGGCAAGTTTCCTTACTCCACCTGCCTGACATTAATCCCTCAAAAAAAAATTAATAATTTGGTCACTTCAGTCCATGACTGTTTGTGGGACGCCGCTATGCGCAATTGGCTGCCGCGTTTCGCCCACAAATATACAGTCAATTCACTTTACACCATATTCTGTAAAGTACTTTGAGACGTCTAGAAGACGTGAAAAGCGCTATATCAAATGCAAGGATTATTATTATTGTTATTTGCATCAAAGTCCGTGTGCCGGAGGCTGAGGCACGGATCATTTCACGTCTCCCGGGCTTTGCACCGAACATAAGGACATAAATGAAGAACACTACCCCATATGATGGATACTATATAAATATAAGTTGTTGTAAGAATTGCTGGACGAAAGGAGACCAAGGTCCATCCAATTTGCCTTCCACCATCCTGATAGTCGCATACACCTGTCATCATGTCTCCCAAGATATTATTTCCTAAATTAATCTAATTTACTTTCGAAAGAACCAACACTTTCTGCTTCCACCATCTCCCCTAGGGAGCCTACACCACACATTTACTACTCGCTCACTGAAATAGTGTTTTGAATTC